CAACTGCATCAAGTTTGCTTCCACAACTAATACAGATCAAAATGCGGTGTTGTAATATCATCATCTTTACTTTGTGTTAGAGTGAATGAACTGTTCCGTCTTAAAGTCAAGAGTTTTCTCATCCCTGAATGTTCCAACAAACAAATTCGTAAAATCATGTGGGAAATATTTCTGAAGTTGATCCACATTTTTCTCCTAACATCATAGCTTAATGGTTCCTGTTTGATCTGCCAGGGTGACATCCTGTAAGCATCCAGTTTGTACTTTAGCACAAGCTATGTTTATAACTTTACAGGCTAGATTGACCAGCACATCATCTACTGCATCCAATATTTCTGATCTGCTTAGTTGTTTGCCTGTCTCTGGAACAAGTACTTCTATTGTCCTTAAAAGTCTCAATCTCAGTAGTAGGCCTCTCAATGAACTGCAGAGCAACATCATAATTACTCTTTTAACTTCGCAGTTGGTAAGATAGACTGGGCTTTTTGCTGCACTAATGGCTGATAACTTTGCTCGACTGTTATAGTCGAATCCAGCAATTCTGAAGGAACTTCCTTCGTCGGGCACTTTCTGTATTAGTACTTTCTTCCAGTAATGCTCTTCTTCATGGAAAATAAGATCTCAATTGCAGCATGAAACTCAGCATTACAGCCCTTTGTTTTAAAATCAGAAAGGATCGCAGAAGTCAGTCGTTCTCTTGATATCGTGTTAAATTCAGTACTAACTGAGAATGAAAAACTTAGAATTAGATCGATAGCAAGAAGTCAGCTATCTCTCTTCTTTTATACAACACTTTGCATCTAGTATAAATATAGTAACAAATGATGGCATCATTACATATGCTGAGTTTCTTCAAGTCTGCATAACCTAAAAATGTCATCATAACTGCTGAGTGGGCAGAACCTTATCTTGATGATGTAATACAATTCAGCATTTTTATGTATACACTTGGCATTTTACCTTATCACTCAAACTAAAGTTAGTAACAGTTACGTCATAATTATATCATTCAAATCAATAACAAAAGCAAAGAATACAATTTTTAGATCAAATGCAACATGCATGATCTAAAGACTGAAACTATCGAAAAGTATGGCTACTTTAGGGGACAATTCTGAAAAGATAATTGATGCCATGGTGACAGATGGATACCTTTTAACTGTAAATTTAATAGTGTTAAACAATTATCATCAACATTTCAGTGTCAATGATAACTGTTCAATAAAACAGGCTTTATGACATAAAGTTAATTATGCTGGTATGCATGTTGCTGCGATACAAGCTAAAATTGCAATAATAGTATACATTAAATTTTATAGAAAATGTATCTATTCTTATTAAAGGGACAAATGTCCAATTAAAGATTGCAAGAATGAAAAGAAGGAAAAACATGTATTGGTCACATGCAAGCAAGAATGCTTAAAATAATTGATTCAACCAAAAGGAAACAGAATAAAGAAAACAAGGTATACCATCGTGTAATAATTGTAATAATTCAGACTTATTTTTTTTCAGAAATGGTTAGTAAATATAAAGAATGTAAAGGCACTTGTAAATAAGACATAATTTTAAGGAAGTTTGTGCAATAATTTTTTTTATTGTTGAGTTTTGTTGATAACAAAGCTGAATTTTTCAGATAAAAATTAATAATTATTATACTTCAATTTGTTGGTCTACACTTTATTATTGAATGTTATATTCTTCAGCCTAGCTGATGTACTTCACATTTAATAATCAAGACAGTGTTAGGTTAAAGACAATCACAATATTATCTATAAGAAAGGTAATGGTAACTGTATAGTTGACATCACATTTGATCAACAATTTGACAACATTTTTGATCG